AAAGAAAAGAAAGAAAACTGTTTTTATAGAAGATAGAATTAATATTTTGTCTTAACTTCATCAATACACAGTCGGGGTTGTGGGTCAAGCGCAACCGTAGGGCCATTCTGCAGCAGGAGAAGGAACGGGGAGATTTTTAGTCAGTAAGAGTCTGACACTCTCTCCATCTAGGGCCAGAGAAGTCATAAGACGAGTTTCCCCGCTAAAAAACTTGATCAATACCGTAATAATTTAACCTCAGTTTTAACTGCTTAAGTTCATCCTATAAGTGCCCACTGCTGAGCAAAGTTCACACCAAGAAGGTTTGAGCATTAATCATCAAGCTTGCTCAAGACGGATTGGCTATTTCAAACTTATAATTAGATATTATAAGTCCAGGTTTCCTCACGGTGTTTTCCTTCACTGATGTCAGTGGGGTCTATATAATCATAGAATGTACATATGATTCGGAAAAAGTGACACTGATACAAACTTGCCAGGTTTCGAACCCGCGCCTTACTCTTTGGACCACCACGACTATGACGACTGCTCAAGTTGAATGCCCCAAAATAACAGTAACAGCTATTAAATTTGTTACGATGCAAATATAACATTCACGATATTATATAACAGACTAGCTTTATGCATGCCAATTCGCCTGTGTTAAAATTAAAAATGGTTTTCTCATGCTCGTCCAGATTCTGAAGAAATATTGGGCAAAACAGCCTACGCTATTCCCTGTTCCTTAAACTTTTCAATAGTGATAGAACTTGTCACATCAATCTTAGTAATATAGACTTTTTGTGTGAGGAGAATATCATCCAAAGACTTTTCGCCTGGTGTGAGGTGAGAAGAAGAATCAGACTCTTACTGACTAAAAACCCCCCGTTCCTTCTCCTGCTCTGGGCCGAGGTCGCGGTGACTCATTGCGCTTACCCTGCAACTCCGGCTGAACATCAGCCCTATAGGGTCCCGTCTGTGGTGGTCTATTGGCTCTTTGAGGCGCGCGCGGAACGCAACGCGCTATACGCTTCGGTATTATAAGTATAGACAGAAGTTTCTTTATGAGTTATGGTTTCCTTAAACATATCTACGTAATAATAGGGTTGATGCTTTTGATGGATAAAAGTAATTGTTGGTACAGGATGTTTGTTTTTTTTTATGGTCAATATTGTATAAAATCTCAGCAATTAAATGAAGTCTGAAATATTTTACTAGTAATATTATTCAATGTACTAGCTACCGTCGCGCACTTTCACTTTTTTTCTCCTACAGATTGTAGCGTGCAGTTATATACCTAGCCTAAACCAAAAATTCGTCTATACATATAACACAACAATAAGTTTTTAATTCGAACCAGTAGTTCCGGAGATTAGCGCTTTCAAACAAACAAACAAACTCTTCAGCTTAATAATATCACAAATATAGATTAAACATTAGACATGAATTTATTCTTACCAAACTAGCACAACAATTTACTAAGAGAAACTAGCTTCGATATGTCACTTTTAAACTAACTAGCTTTTGCTCGCGACTTTGTTTGTGTGGAATAGTGACTTCCTGCAGATTTTTGGTATAAAAACTATCCTATGTCCTTTCTCGAGTTCCAAACTATGTCTTTACCAAATTTCACAGAAATCGGTTTAGTAGTTTAGGCGTGAAGAAAAGGCAGACAGAATGAGTTATTTTCGCATTTATATGTATAATATTAGTAAGTATAGATTAAGACAGTAAAGATTACCATGGACGGTAAAATAAAACATTTGGTCAGCGTGCCAACCCTAGCGAGCACAGACACATAAAAAGACGTTTGTAGTTGGTTGTGATTTATCTGTAATTTTTTTACCCGCCACGAGACACGCGAGGTAACAATTGATGACTTATTAGTTCTTTCCATGCCTCTACGTGTCCGCTATATACATGGTGTTTCAATTACGGTGCCTTACTTTCCCTTCTAGTTTTGGAAAGAAATTTTAAAACTCTCAAGTATGTCTCGATCTGGTGTATTTTTTGAAGGCATATCTTCCATTATCTTCTCCCGCCCTGAGAAGGAAAGAGAAGAATGAAAGGGACTTTATCCTGCAAAGGGCCGGGTCGCGTATATTATAGCGCTTGTACACGCAATCTTGAACTAAATGCTTGAATTAAATTTTAATGTACGGGAGTCAATATGCAGATATTACAAGTGCCATTGGGGAGGCCTATCTCCAGAAGATGATGATGACTGCACGATTGGTGCGGTGGCAGGGCAACTGGCTGCCGTACAACATGTCGCGGGTTCGATTCCCGCACAGAACAACTCTTTGTGTGATTCACAAGTTGTCGTTCCGGGTCTTAGTGTCATGTGTATGTGAAATTATATGCTACACGACACAGGAGAAAATCCTACTGTGGGGCAACGTTTAAATTTTTAAACGAAAAGATGATGATGTACGGGAGTCATTCTTAGGCATAAATCAGCGTCAGAAAATACTGTGAAAATTAAATTTTCTTTTATATTACGTTGGCAAACGAGCAGACAGATCACTACGACCTATGGACACTCGATATAACAAAGTTATTACAAGTGCGTTGCCGAGTTTTTGTTGGAATTGAGGATGGGGGTTGGAGGTGGACAGAAGAATTAGACCTTCAGTAATATCATTCACACGGTGAAAAACCACATAGGTGTTATCTCACGCCGGCATTCAGTAAGGCCGTGGTATAACTCCAGTCGAGCCGGCCCATTCGTGCTGAAGCATGGTTGTCTCACACTTTAAGGCAAAAAAGCAAAGTTTTTTTTTCTGTACAACCTGTATACAGCCTAACTTCATACATGTTCTTTTTGGACCATGTTTAATGACCATAATTTGAGGAAGAGCCTCACGTTATATTACAATATTACATAATAGACGTGTATGCGACCGTACTCTTTTGTTTTTTAAAGAAATAATTCATGGAAGCCTACATTCCATAGAGCTATTTCAAATTCTTTTGTTTTTTTTTCCTTCGTTTGAGATTATGTCTGTAAGTTTTTTAAGTTTTATTTCACACTAGTCTTTGCCAACTCCGTTCGCGTGGAATAGTGACTTCCTTCAGACTTTTGGTATAAAACTTATCCTTTGTCCTTTCTCGAGTACCAAACTATGTTTGTACCTCATAAATAAATTTCACAGATATCGGTTCAGTAGTTTAAAGAAAAGACAGACAGACAGAGTTACTTTCGCATTTATAATATTAGTTTGGATTTGGATCGATTTCAACCAGTACAGATACATAGTAAATGGTTCTTTAAAAGAGACCAAAAGGTGATATGTGTGTCGTATTAGTGGCCCGGAGGTTAAGACGCCCGCTTCTCATGCATGAGGGTGCAGATTCGAAACCTAGCAAGTACTAATGTGACGTTGTCTGAGTTTATATGTACTTTCTAAGTTTAGTTAGACACCACTGACAACCGGTGAAGGAAAAGATCGTGAGGAAACCTGGACTATAATTTCTAATTAAAAGTTTGATATCGCCAATCCGCGTTGAGCAGGTGTGGTGATTAATGTTTGAACCTTCTTCATGTGATGAGTGGCTTTTGCTTAGCAGTAAGCACTTATACAATACCGCCGACGTATCTTAGCGAGTCTGAAGTTAGTCGATTAGCTGCGCAGTACACAATTTTGTTCCTAAAAGATCCATTGCGCAGACAAACAGCTAACTTCAGACTCGCCAAGATTCTGCCGTACTGTAAGTATCTGACGAAAATATTTAGGCTGACATAATATAAATAAAACCTGAGACCTCGTGCTTGGAAACCATACTTACAACTCAATAAATTAGGCCTTATTACAATTAGCAATTAAGTCGATAATCCTTTAAAAAATACCTAATGTGTTTACTTGCCTATTTCAATATGAGACGCCAAGTCTTCCTTATTCTGTTATCAACGTATACATACTACATATACTGTGTACGTATCTATATGTAAACAACACAGGTCATTGACACTGACACACTGACCTCTTAACAACAATATTTTGTTTATCTCACGCTCAACAAACAGATTGCATTCAATATTGATGGTTACATTTAGAACGGTAGAGTGCAGTTTTGTTTATTATATGATTTGTCGACAAAGAATGTGATATGACACCTGATATTTCCTAAAGGGATACATAGTCATTAGCCTACAAGTGTCCACTACTGAGCAAAGGCCTCTTCTCACACGGAGAAGGTTTGAGCATTAATCACCACCCTTGCTCTTTTTTTCTTATTCAATAGTTCGTCAAACGAATACCCGCAACAGAGGAGTGACGAGTGCCTTGCCGACCTTTTGGGGATTAGGGATTTGGAGATTTGGGGATTGGGGGAGGGGGGTTCACTCAAACGGCGAAACACAACGCTATGGTTGTTTCACGTCGGTCTTCTGTGAGGCCGTGGTATCACTCCGGTCGAACCGACCCATTCCTGCCTAAGCATGACTCTCCCACACTTGACTGTTCAAGGCGGATTGGCGATTTCAAACTTATAATTAGAATGTATTTAGTGATAAACACTGCATTTTCAATCAAGCCTAAACAAATATATTTGTAAATAAAATATGAAACTATGCAAGCAACGCAAATATGTAACTTGAAACTGCTTTTAGAATTTCAATCATGTTTCTAACTCATAGATATGATTTTACAATAACATCTGTTTATCTTTAAATCACTGAAACTGTATAATAAATATCAGCAATATTTCCATAGCTTAAAAATCGAATTCACATTGCAGAGTCTAGTAGTTAGACTATCAGGCCTACATTTGAAAATTGATCGTATTTATAAAAGGTTAGAATTTTATTTTCATTGATAACAGCTTTTGTTGTGGTTCGAATGAATGAATCATAATTGCTCCCGTTGCCTAGCAACGTGTAAACAAGTGAAGTTCGCTTTGTTTACTTTTTAACTTTCAAATCTCATTTTATGTAGATCAGTTATCGACATTACCCACTCCAAGGGCTGATTTTTCAATAGTCAGATAAATATTATCTGAGGAATAAAATTGTTGCTTACACTATCTTATACAAACATTCTGACGCGACAGCCTCATAATTGTTCCCCAGGTAACTTTTATCTCGAGAGATGATCTCCGGCCACCGTAAGCGCGGGTCTGCGGTCGGCGAGTAAGGGCAGCTCGCCGCCCGACCAGAACCAGGCCCGAGCGTACGGCGCGTAGCGTTCCGCGCGCGCCTCAAAGAGTCCATAGACCACCATAGTCGGGACCCAATAGGGCTGATGTTTAGCCGGGGTTGCAGGGTAAGCGCAATGAGGCACCGCGACCTCGGCCCAGAGCAGGAGAAGGAACGGGGGGGGGTTTTAGTCAGTAAGAGTCTGACACTCTCTCTCGCCTTACGCTGGGAGAGAGAAGTCATTGGATGATTTTCCCCTGACAAAAAAAAGGTAACTTTTATCTAACCATTGAAACATTTTCATATTTAGGGCTTATGGACCTCCGTAAACCGGTCCATGACCTCACAGGAGGTTCCTAGTCAGATATTTGATCATTGGGGATGGAAGAAGGAGGGAGTATTAGATCTCCCGTAATCATATTCATACCTACAGCGAAACAAAATGAAATCGCTGTTTTACGCCTGTTTCGAATGAGTCTGCTTGAAAGCAGTGAAACTACGGCCTCGGATAAAATCGGCGTAAAACAACGGTTGTGTTGTTTTACGCCGATTTTTTTCCTTCTGTAAGTGAAATAATCCGACATCAAGATTAACCAATCTCTTATTCCGTAAAAGGCTTACAACGAAATAGTAAGTCCTCTGGTGAGCTATGAAGATTAGAAATCGTCTGTTCGCTTGTTGATTTGTTTATAGTTATAGTCAAAGTTAAAATCAAAATCATACATACATATATTCCAACTAAACCATTAAAAGGTACTTTTGTAGCGTCAAAATAAAATGTCTAATTATTTTTGACGTGAAAAGTGCTGTTTTATGGACAATGAATGAATAAATTTATTGTTTTAATGAATTACAATAGTATAAAAATATATACGTAGGTACTAGCGACCCGCCCCGGCTTAACACGAGTGCAATGCTGCTACTAAAATTATCCACTATTTTTACATTCTTATACATATAAACATTCCACTTTAATCACTCTATCTATTAAAAAACCGCATCAAAATCTGTCGCGTAGTTTTAAAAGACTTAAGCCTACAATACATAGGGATATAGGGGCAGAGAAAACGACTTTGATTTCTACTATGTAGTGATATCTAAGTTTATACTAATCTGTATAGGTGACACAAGGGCGTTATATTTTGCACCGAGGTGCGGAATGGATCCTGTAAAATGTCAAGGCTTTGCAACGACGCAGATCGATAGCCATCTAGAGTCGTATTCATTGAGGAGTAAGGTGCAGCCTATATAATACTGGCTTGATGGATATATTTAAGATATAAAAGGAGTATTAATGTACTACATTTTAATTGCCTCCCAAAAAAAAAGGTTGTATTGTAATTCGACAGGTTTTTTTTCTACGCGAATAAGTTTGTCATTTATTTTATGAATCGATATTGGTTATAGCCAATCAGGTGTTGATGATAGGCTCCTAGGAAAATTTAGGAGAATTTTCGAGATTGTGTGGGTCGAAATTTTAATAACTTTTTGCCGTCTATTTTTTTTTTTGTTGTTTTTTAAGTCGGCTTGGACACCCGCAAATCCAGAGAAATACAAGCACGATGTCGGCCTTTTAAGAAGGAGTTTCTTGAAGGTTTAAAGGACGTATCGGTACGAAAATACCGCCGCTGAAATATTGTTCCAAAGTTTTGCTCTGCGAAAAAAAGTTTCGCGAAAATCGCACAGTTGTTGACTGCCAACTTTCGTGTATAAAGATATATAAGATGCGGCGGGGATTGAACCGGCGGGCGGCGATAGAAAACCCATAGCGAAACTACATCTCTACGCACCGCTAAAGAGTCCAGCGGGTCTGAGATAACAGGGTTGTCAACGATTCGACAATCTGTCAAATTTAGCTTTTGTCGAAGAGTCAAAAATGCTTCTTCTCTATGGATGTGACGTCATATTATTATTTTGTCAAACACTTTCGTATTTCGTAAATTGGAAAACTCGTTTACCTACTATTATAATAATTTTTGAACTTTAATTTTAAAAAGAAACGAGTGGAAAAAATAAGGAGACTAATATATGAACTTGTAACTTGTTTATGAATTAGTTCAGTCGTGCGGTAGTTACGCAAAGTAATCGCTGAAGTCCACTAACTAGCGTTAATCGGATTATATTACAATGCGAGGTTAAGGTAAGTAAACACAGTAATAGTTATCTAACAGTAACAATTGCTTTTTCGCAAGGAAAAATCATCGGAAGAGCACAGGAAGACTGCACGGTTGGCGCAGTGGCTGTGAAACTGGCTGCCGTTCTTCGATGTCGTGGGTGCGTTTACAAACATACAAATTCACATGACGCTCAGACACGGAACAACAATCTGTGGATCACACAAAGAGTTTTTCCGTGCGGGAATCGAACCCGCGACACGTTGCGCGGCAGTCAGTTGCCCAGGCACCACACCAACTGTGCAATTTTGGGTCTGAGTGTTGTGTGTATCTGAAATTGTATGTTTGTAAACGCACCCACACACACACACAACACAAAGGAGAAAATCCTAGTGTCCTACGTGTCTTTAAAACCGAAAAAAGGAAGTGTCAGACTCTTACTGACTAAAAACCATATCGTTCCTTCTTCTGCTACAGGCCCAGGCCGCAGTACCCTTATAGTGCTTGCTCCGTAACATCTGTGGTGGTCTAATAGCTTTTTGAGGCACACGCGGGAATTGTAATATCGATAAGAATACTCCATTAAGCGTCGTGATGGCCAGGAGGTTAAGGCGCCAGCATCTCATGCACGAGGGTTTTAAATCCTAAACAATGTGACTTTTTCCGAGTTATACATATGTACTTTCTATGATTATTTAGACACCAGTCATATACGACGAAGAAAAGCATCGTTAGGAAACCCAGTCTTATATTTTTTTTATTTTTAGTTTGAAGTCGCCATATCGCTTTGAGCAAGAAAGTGATTTATATTAAAACCTTCTTCGTCTAAGTAGAGGTCTTTGCTCAGCAGTGGGCACTTACAGGCGGATGGTGAAGAATTCCACGCAACTTTTGTTTCTTAGTAATTGTTTACATATAGGAATTACTCATGTAGATTGATTGGATAGTTGACGTGTGTGCAATAGAAGCACTTCAGATTACTAGTCACCAAAGAATTTTTTTAAAGTACATCAACCTATCCTTAACTGCAAAAGATTTTGAATTTAATTACACAGAAAATAAAGTTTAAAACCACATAACAATTTACGACAGAAAAGAGGAGGTTGACAAGCTTCACCTACATTAGTAAGTGCAAAGGAAAGCCACCTTTAAATACATTGAATTACAAACAAATCGATTGCAAATTAACGTAAATCGAGTTTCTAATTAATTAGATTGAGTTTTAAATAAAAGATGATGTGTGACACGTTGAGAAAGGTAACTTAAGACAGCTGGAAAACAAAGAGAAAATAAATGAAAGCAGGATTAGAATTAGACGCAGGACACTTTGAATTAAGGAGCCTCTTTCACAGTATTTAAACTATCTTTTTTTAGTGGGAGGAAACGTCTTCAAATGCCCTCTTTCGCCCGAGGTGAGGCAAGAGGGAGCATCAGACTCTTACTAACTAAAAACCATCCGTTTCTTCTCCTGTTCTAAGCCGAAACCTCGGGACCTCATTGCGCTAAGCCCATAACCCCGGCTGGACACCCCGTCTGTGGTGGTCTATTAAAAGTAGGTAAGGTAATAGTACTTACAAAGTAAAATATATAATTGTTAATTATTTAAAAAAAATACACTACCCTACTACTACATTATTTTTAGTACGATCTATATTAAATAGCAACTGCCTACATTATTAAAATAGATCTTATTTTACTATATGAAGTACGCCTTTGTAGGGTCAACAATTATTCAGTAGACATTTTAAAGATTTTAGCAAATTTTTCAAATTATATTTAAATAGCTTTTGCCTGCGACTTTGACCGCGTGGAATAGTGACTTTCTCCAGTTTTTTGTTTTAAAAACTATCCTGTGTCCTTTCTCGGGTTCCAAACTATGTCTGAACCAAATTTCACACAAATAGGTTTAGTAGTTTAGGCGTGAAGAAAAGACAGGCAAACAGACAGACAGTTACTTTCGCATTTATAATAGTATAGTTTGGATTTATATTATAACTTTAATTGTTAATTAAATATGTCATCGGAAGAGAATATTTTGTATTAAAAATAAAACCTACACAGATATTGTTATCATTCTCTGACCAATACTGAGATGACGTCGGCTTACCAATAAACTGAACTAATTAATTGTTGTGTTGTGAAGTCCTTAATTGTTATACAGTCATACTTATTGTTTATTATGAATAATGCATTATTAATATACATATTTATAAGGTTTTATTTAATAAAGACAATTATAATTGTAAAGCAAAGAGCCAAGAAAATTTGTTTCGTGCGTAAAGGATCAAGATAGGATATTATAATAAATAAATATAATAAATGCTTCGGCTTGAAAAATATATAGAAAATGTACCTACCCGTATTTTTTTTGGTATAGGTATACAAAAAAAAAAATCATATAATTGAAGATTTGTAGGTGAGATTCCATATCTATGAAATAGACTATCTATGAAGCCAACAGTCCGATAGTCCCCAACTAGTCGAATTAATTTTTTTATTAAAATATCAAAAAGTATCCTTTTTTATAAATTTTATATGAACTCGCTACATATCTAGGACGTCAAATATCAATAAAAAATAACTAATCAAATATATGTACATGAACATACAAATTCACTGAATAGTTAAAATAATAAATTTATGACCTAGGAAACTAAAAACCCAATTATATTATTCAGTACAAAGGAGAGTAAACTCAAACTTTTTAAAATATCATAAACAAACACTCTATAAGCCATAAATACTAAAATACTCAATGAACAGTTGAGTGGTCGAGTCGTTGACTTTTTTTAAAAATAAACTTTGTTATACTGCCAGCAGTTTTTAACAAAGGAGTTTTTATGTCAACTCTTTGATCTGTGATAAAATAATATGTAGCTGTGGACTAGTGAAGGGTACGGAAGCGAATGTCAGTCGATTACCTCATGCATTGAGACAAATAGGTGTGTTAGCGATCATTGTTTTGTAAATTTGTAAATACGAGTTATATTATTCGATTTCGAGTTACATTATCGTTATTGCATTCATACTTAGACATTTTTTTATGATAGGAGTACAGGAACGTTGTCTCTTGGGAGTTTTATTGTGATTGTCCCTTACAAAAAAATTCGTAATGGAGTTTCAGACTCTTATTAACTAATACAAGACACTGAGTCTGATAGTATGATTTGGTTAATTCAAAGATTTTACTTATACCATAGTAACAAGTTAATAATTAATTAATTTCTTTACCATTTATCAGTCTATGTTTTAAAAATACCGCACCAAAATCCGTTGCGTAGTTTCAAAGATTTAAGCATACCTACATAAGGATACAGGAACAGAGAAAGCGACTTTTGTTTTATACGTGTCATGTCATTTACATACCAAGATTTATTTTGATTATTCTTCAAAAAAAACTTGTATTTTATTTCTATACGTACACGGAAAAATGCACGGACGTGACGTTGACACAATACGTCAATATGCGGTTTTATCCGCTAAAACGTAAGTTGCATGTTGTTATTGTCGTAAACAGAAGCGGTGTTTGTAAATGAACCTTATTTATTCTACTTTGTTAGTTTTTAATGTGTAAATGAAAATAAAGTTATACATAATTATATTACTTTTGCGTCCTGCGGTTAAACCCATGTAGTGTTTCGGAGTTTCGAAGTCTATTCAATTCACACAATCAAATCTTTCCTCTACATAATATTAATAAACATTAGATATTTTATATATTTTTTATAGAATTAATTTGATAATAATTTAAAAACTTCTTAATGTTCATTTGACATCTGTCAATATAAACGTAGAGTTTTTTTTTTAATTATCCGCCAGTGATATTTTAGTTTAAGTTTAATTCTTAATAAAATTTCCAAACTATTAAGAAAACTTTAATGTACCTTAACACATAACATGAGAACAATAGGTGTATGTAGGGTGGGTGTACCAGTAACAAACCGATTAAGCGACATTTTGAAAGTAATTTTGATATTGTGACTCAATTACTACGACAATAATTGCAAAAAAAGAATTACGTACTCCTTGCCTATCATAGAATCATGTAGCTTATTCCAATTTTCTTAATAGCTGTTAGGTTTCTTTTTATTTAACAATCAATGTGGAAAGTCGCAATGTGCCTTAGGTTGACCAGATTGTACCAGCAATAGACCAGACGTTGAGCCAATAGTGAACCAATAAATAAACTCATTTCTCTTAATGAAGAATATTTTTATTTTAATTACTAAAATGTTTTGTACTCAATAATCATCACAACTTTGCATCAGTCTACGAGTTTCAAGTAATACTTAAATGCTACAAGTCTTATAATGTTGTTAACTAATTTAAGAACTAGATAATTAACAAGAGATTCATATCACTTACACAAGTATCATAATCATAACTTGCAATAAAATATTTATGAATTAACATGAATCAAAAAATATAAAATAAAAAGAAAACAATGTAAGTACTTCTCAAAAACTTAAAAAGAATTAAAACTTTGGCATAAATTTATCCATTTCAGGAACTCTATAAAAACCTCGACTGTTAGCCAACGTAGGAACAGCTATTTTCTCTTCAATTGCATCTTTCAGGTACCAGATTTTATCACATTGTTCTGGCCAGCGGAAAGTATTTCCCGCAGAAAATGTCATAGTGCTTATCTCATAGAGATCACCGTCAGTATTTTCTACAGTCCCTGGGAAATATGCCCCCTCATACCTAACGATCACGTAATCGCCTTTCTTTGGTTTTGCCGTGACCTCCAAAGATTTATGTACAATTGAAGGTATATTATCATCATCGGAGTCTGAAGCTGAATCAATTCGAAGTTGTCTTATCTTTCTAGGAGCTACTGGTATTTCTTCATCTGAACCTGTTTTATTTTTCTTATTCTTCTTTGACACTTTTCTATTAGCTGCCTTAAGAGCTCTTTTTTCTTCTTGTTCTTTCTTCATGTTTTCTTTCTCATTCCAATATTGCATCCATTCACTGCTATTTACTGCATCAGGTAGGCGAACTTTTTTACGCCTTTTCTGGTTGCCTTTAATTGGAGATTCAGAGGGCCACACAATTGCTGATGCAAATGCAGGGCTTATTGGTTGAAGGTGTTTTCTTGTAGAAGGAGATTCTTGCTCAATGTGATTTGTAATATTAATGAATGAAGTTTCAGGTTGAGATGGCGTTCCACTATTCAAATTGTCAACGTTGCACTGTGTGTTATTTTGCCTTAGTTACGTACATGCCAGTTTTATATTTTTTCTTTATAGATTAACCCTTTATAAACCTATAGAAAAAATCCCCGTTTTGATATTTGACTTAATTTAGGAGATACAAATATTTTAGTGAAAGGTCACTGACCTTCTTAAAAAAGTTTTTCGTCTATATTTCTTGAATGAAGCAAAATTGCAGGCTCTTGTGAACTACCACTAAATTGTGGGTTTGAAATGTATTAATTCTAGAAAGTGCAAGTCTCTAACGTAACTAGAACGAGAATTAAAAAAAAAATTGACAATTAACGAAAAAAATTAAAAATTAAATAACTGTTTGCGGGTCGCATTTTTTTTAATTGCATAATATACTCGTGTAAAAGACCTTCAACTGGACAAAATTCTAAATTTGTATCTAGCCAGATCTCGGAGATATTGAGTTTCTATGTTTTTATTAATTTTCTATGGAAATAGGGTTGTCAAAGATGCAGAGTAGTAAATATATTTTTCTTAATCAATTTCTGACTGATCTGTTGGTCTAGTTGTCAGTGGCCCTAACTGTTATGACGGAGGTGGTGGGTTCTATTCCCTCCCAGGACAAATGTTTGTGTGGTGAACATGATCATTTGTTCTGTCTGGGTATAATATATCTATAATAAGTATGTATTTAAAAAAATATTAAGTATGTTTATTAGTTATCTAGTATTCATACCTCAAACTGCTTAATTTGGAACTACTAAAAAAAAGTTGTAAACACTTATTTATGACATATCTTCGCTATCGGATTGATTTATGATTTCTTCAGACGTGAGCGTAATATTATTTTCTTCTAAATCTTCGGAATCTAAATTATGGTAGTTAACATTGTCTGTTGTTACGCTTAGGAGTTGAAGCACTGATTTTGATAGGGGCAAAGGTTTTTTATGTTTATGACGTGTACTTAGTGTTAATGTGGATATATATGGATCGGAAGACTCTAATGCACGGTGAAATAAATCTAATATTGTTGTTTTCCTGTCTAATTTCCGAGTATGGTGTTGACGATCATAGCGCCAGTATTTGTTCCTTGACTCGCCTGCTTGTTCGGACAACATACCTATGGGTAACGGGCTGGCGTCTATGATCTGACGGCCATGAATTAATATCTTGTGCAGTGTGGCAGACATATAAAACCAGTTGTATTTCTCCACGTATTTTGCAGCTACAGATTTACAAAAGGCTTCAAATTTTGCAGCATCTATGTATAAGCCACTTGACAGCGCTACTAAAATGGTATGCAGATCATCCACCAACCATGTCTCTATACCTAAGATATCTGCAAATGTTTGCCGGTGTTGGTCTGACAGTGCTGTTCGTGCTGTGTTCCCGTCATTGGTTGTTCCCGAATTCGGACGAACGACATCAACCAAAAGTGACAGTTTGTCTCTTAATGCGGTTTGTATTTTTTTTTTCCTTTCCTCAACAATTGTGGCTGCCGGTGATTTTTTATTAATCCTCCACTTCATGACTGCTGGATCATTTTTGTATCCTAAGTGCAGTAAGAAAAGTTCAAAAATTCTAATCCAGGCATGTAAGGGACTTATTCCATGACGCAAGGCTTCTGGATTTACAGGTTTGTTGATGACAACATCCAATTGATTGAACTCCGTTGCTGTAGCTCCACAACAAGCACAACGTAATTGTGAAGTGGTCCCAGTAATTACGTTGAATACTTTACCATCTATTACAGTTAAATATAGTTTCGTATCTGAAATTATAGATTGACCTTCATCAGTTTCGGCATAAAGCGGTGTCAATTGATCTATTTCAGCCTGTACCCGATTTTTTTCTTCGGTGATAAGTTCTTTTGTTTCATTACGATATTGAATTTTTAATGGTCGACAAAACCTGTACGATTGTGGGCAGGGGTTAGACCACAAAACAAAACCGTCATTCGTTTTTAATCGTAAAGGGATATACGTTGTTGTAAATAAACAATTTTCATTCTCGTTATCACCATCTAAAAACTTCTCTTTATAAAAAGCCTGTCCTGTACTGCCATCGAACCCCCAAGAACCCTCAAATCTACAATGTAATATGTTTTTTTGCTTTTGTTTGCAATATTGTGAAATGCTTTCGGTACTCAATTTAATGATTCGGCGGAATGTGTGTAGTAATAAGCTGTGAACTGAAACACTTGCTTCTCTTTCAGTAATAACTATATCTTCGTCAGGATAACACATTTGTTTGGCTATTTTTAATTTAAAATATGGAGGATAAGCTGGAAATCCTCTTTCTTTCAAATCTTTCTGTATGATACTATAATCTTCCACAGTTAGTTTCCTATCAATGACTAAAGAAAGGGCTTCCTCAGGGGTATAGGGTTTGGCTTCGACTTTCGCTTTCATGGACGATGCAATTTTTTTAGGACGAGTTGGACTTTTCAGGCACTCATTAATAACAAACTCTAATTCTTGAGCAGAACTTTTAACAAGTTTTTCGCCGTGAATTTCATCTGTTACTATTTTCGACATCATTTTAATTATTTTTGACCGCGGCTGATCTTGAAGAGACTCCTCTAAACTTTTTCTAATTCGAAGCATTTGACGAGAGTTCATTTCATTTGAAGCAGATGGACTATTATTAGACGTTCCGGGTATTGTATTATTAGTAGTTGATGGAATTTCTTGTGAAGGTCCAGGTACCGGTTCTGTAAACAAAATATTGCTTACAGAACTCATATCTGATGATTCTGGTTCTTGAGGTTTTAAAAGACAATCAGAAGGAGAACTTGTATTTAATTCTATAGGAGATTTTTCTATTTTGGTTGGTATTGGAATATCGAAAATTGTAGAAAGCCATTTCTCATTCTTTTTAGTAAAACGTTTAAAATTTCTTTTGCTGTTATTATAAAGCTTTTCACAATTATTAATAAATTTGGATATACTATCTTTAAGGTTTTTATTATGTACATCAAGATTGTCAGGAATACCTGTTGGGTACAATGCATTTAAGATTACCATTGTGCGATCGTTGCTTTCTAGGTCGCCCGGTCTTTGTTTAGACCCAAATTGTTTGGCCTTTTCAACTAAAACATTATAAATTTCCAATTTCGTTAGTATTCGCGGATCCGTATTCAGGCTTAGGTCGTCGGTGATCATTGCCTCTCGCTGACCAACATGAGGGTTGGCGCCCTCATGCCCCCCTTGCAATAAGTCCTCTGGTCGGGGCCCAGACGGACATCCCCCAACAGGACGGGTCAGTACCTGCTGAGGCAAAACAGTGCCATTGGTCTTTAACGGCTCCATGACACCTCACCCCCGCTCCTCCAGATATTATGTAAAGGGATTGGGTTTTAGCATTTGCCTAACGAGGGCGGACCCCTTCCCAATCCCACACAATATCCTTCATTGAAGATAGATCATATACAAAAGTAGTGACCGAATTCAACCGTAAAAATTTAATTAGGTAATTTTGATTTCGACTTTTTGCATAATTTTGACATATAAATTTAAATTGTGTAAACTATGCACGTCTCAATTTAAACTGACTATTGATAATACCTACCCAAGACAAAAATAATTAAACAGTAATGTTTTCATGAAGCACACAAATTTTAGTGACAACCCTAACCGACAATTTAGAAATTCAATAATTCCGAAATCCTGGGTCTGTTGCAACTGAGTTTTTTTGTGGTGATAGTTATTATAGTGATCAACATTTAGGCTTAATAAAAAACGCGACCATGAATAGAATGTCCTGAAAAAAAAAAAAAATCAAAATCATAGAAAAAAAAATATTCTCACTTGTGTGAGCAATATTTTTAAAGTTTTCAAGAAAAAAATGGTTCAGGTAGGGAATTACTATCACACCATAAAACATTTCGTGTAAAAATCAAAATAGAAAACGAGATATTGTGTTTCTATGGTTTTTAAGGATTTTTCTCGATTTTATTTATTTCTCTTAAACTACAGTAGTTAGAGCCGGCGGAGTTTTTTTAGGAGTTTTGTTTGATTATAAGCTTTCCGAAATACATATAAAACGGAATTGTCCGAACTAAGGCAAAATAACACACAGTGCGTTGCTAATAACATCCTCTTTCATTTGTTCTGGTGTTTGGTAATTTTCTTCCTCTTTTTCTAATAGCGTAACATTTTCTTCTAGATTGTGTATATTTTCTTGCATTGTTTGTTGATTGGTTTCCAAGTTTAGTTCTTCTTCAACTGCCGCTCGTTTTACTCTCTTAGCTATTTTCTGCCACACATAAAACAACTCCTTCGCTGATTCTTCACCAGACCACGCAGAATCTTGGTTTGCACGGAATTCTCGAACACGTGAGGAAGACATCAATGATTCAAAATACAACAAATGTTCAGGACCAATGAAAGCTGGTTTCTCTGGTATGTCATGTCGGGAAGGATTAGTGATACATTTGTCGTAGCTAATTGCATTAGCATCGAAAGGATACAGTCCACATTTTCTAAAACCATTGCAGATAACTTCTTTTGAGAGGTCATTGAATGTGGTCTCTAGAAGGGGTGCAAAGAGAGCCTTAGTAACGCATCGATGCCCTGTCTTCAATTTCCAATCATTAACAACCTTCTTCCAAGAATTCTTGAGTGGTCGGAAAACAGATACGTCAGCTGGTTGAATGATGTGCGTAGCGTTTGGATAGAGTGAATATAAAATAACACCATTATCAATACACAATTGAGACACTTCTTGATTTATATGAGACTTATGGCCATCTACCAGGAACAAAACAGGAAATTTTGTATTGTTTTCTTTTAATTTTGGGACCAGAGTATTCGCTATATAGCCGTAAAAAACTTTCGATGTCATCCATCCCGTTTCTGACTTACCAATGCTCCAATCTTTATTAATTTGTCTAACGATTTCAGATGGTATTCGTGCATATGGGTATATAATCAAGGGTGGTAATATGGTACCAGATGCTGCAAAAGTTCCTAGTACGGTTATGTTCTCCTTCTCTTTTTCTTTTATTTCGTAAAAATTTTGATACCCTCGCGGGCCTAACACTAAACCAGACGACGGGTTTGTTTGAAATCCGGATTCATCTGCATTAATAATCCTTTCGGGATCTTCTAAAATGTCAGCTACGCCTTCAGCGACTAGGTATTCTTTTAAATTTGCATGCCACTTTCTCAAAGCAGTTTCTGTTACCAGACTTCGAGAAATATTTATAGATTCCGCATGACGTGCAGCTATATCTGGATGTCGTTTTAAGAAACTGGAAAACCATTTTCTGCCTGGGGTATTATCTTTAAAGGGATTTGGTCGATTCTCGTCAGTTATAATTTTCTTAACAGTGTCTACTACCATTTCTTTATTGACTGGAAATCCTTTTTTTGCCATTGCTATTATCCAAGTTTTGAGCAAAGATTCCTCTTGCTTGGTTAATATAGTGGGTGGTCCCATTTTTCGTTGAACTGGATATTTTAACTTTTTTTTTTTTTTTTTTCAAATCAAATAATTTATTGCAATCCATAATGTCAAATACAGGTGGTAGTAAAAAAAAAAAAAAAAAATATTAGATACAATTACGGACCCTGTCGGGCACAGCAATTTTTTGTTTTAAACAAAAAAAATGTAAAAGAGAGAAATGTAAAAGAGAGAAAGAGCGCTTCATTAACACAGCTACATATAATTTTCCACCCTAATAACTATATTTTTATATTTTAATTCATTCACTTCTATTAATATTTTTATGTATTTATATGTTTCCATTTATTTACTTATTCTATTAATAATGTATATGCAGGTCTATCTGTACATTTATTATTTATTTAATTATATTTAGTATCGCTTATTTAGTATGTACAATTATAATATATATTATTATTTTATTATTATGTAATTCAATTATTAAGTATTGTATATTATGTCATTTTGATCAGTGAGTATTTTTTATGTCATTTTGTAATTTAATTATTAAGTATTGTTTATGTCATTTTACTTATTAAGATAATCTGTTATTCATAATTGTGTTTTACCTATTAATATTTATTTATCTGTAAGATATTCTTGTACTGTGTAATAGCTTTTTTTAATTAAGTATTGCTTTAGTTTATTTAGAAATATACTGGTTTTTTCTTGCTGTTTTATGTCTTCAGGTAGTTTATTATATATTTTTATTGACATTGAATAGGGACTAGATGAATGTAATTTAAGGCGGGAGGGGGGCAAATTTAGTCTTTTTTTATGGCGCAACGAATAATTTGTTTGTATGTCTCCCCGTGTGCTGTAAGAATCTGGATATTTACGGACGAGTTTACATAATTCCAAGACATAAATACCAACTAAGGTGAGAATCTTGTGTTTCTGAAAGTGAGGCTTGCAGCTATCTGTTGGTTCTATATTGGTAATTATTCGTATTAGCTTTTTTTGGAGGGTAAATAGGGAGGGAGCATCTGTGCTATTTCCCCATAAGATGATGCCATAATTAAACCAAGCATGAGCATACGCGTAGTATGTGGCTAGTGCGGTTTGTAGGTTTGTAGTCTTTTTTATTTCGCGGAGAGCATATGAAAACTTTGAAATTTTTGATTTTACTGTCTGTATATGTGTTTTCCAGTTTATATGAGTGTCTATTGTTAAACCTAGGAGTGTGAAATTGTTAACTGTTTCTAATTTATGTTGATTAAACGTAAAATCTATATTTATTTGTTTTTTCTGCCAGGGGTGGAACGCTATTAATTTGGTTTTGGTAAAATTTATTTCGAGATTATGGTCACTCATCCAGTTTACAGTTTTTCCGAGAATAGTCTCAAGTTTTTCGTTTAAATTGGCATTACTTTGGCAAGAAGTCAGGATCGAGATATCGTCCGCAAAAAGTACACATGGCCCGTCTATGGTTTTGGGGAGGTCATTTATATATATTAGGAAAAGGAGGCAGCCTATAACACTTCCCTGTGGAATTGAAGCGTGTATTGCTTTAACATCAGATCTAATGATCTGTATTTCCTTTGTTTCTTCATTGTAATATTCAATCTCAACTAGTTGCTCTCTATCCTTTAAATATGATGCGAACCAGTCATGAGCTTTCCCGCGTATTCCTATTCCGTAGAGTTTATTCAATAATATTTTAAATTGTACTTTGTCGTAGGCCTTGGTCATGTCGAGTAATATCCCTACTGCATATTGTTTGTTATTTATAATATTAATTGCTTCTTGGATGTATTTAAAAACAGCTAGCGTTGTAGATCTGTTTTTGCGAAATCCATTTTGGCAATCATCGAAAATCTTATATTTTTCACAAAAGGAGTATACACGATCACACATTGCTCTTTCGAAGATTTTGGATGCTGTAGGAAGAAGGGAAATTGGTCTATAGATGCTTGGGTCTGTTTTTGCGTTCTTTTTATGGATAGGTTTTATTAAAGCTTTTTTTAGTTGGTTGGGGAAAGCGCCCTCCTCGAAAGATTGATTTATTAATTTATAGAACGGTAAGGTTAGTTCATCAGCGCACTGTCTGAACAGAGTCGGTGGGAGTTCGTCTATGCCGTGACTGTTTTTATTTTTAAGGTTCTTTAAAATCTGGTTTACTTCGTATCCGTCGACCGGTGTAAGAAACATGGTATTTTCAGTAGGATTCATCACTGATGTTTCTCTCTGTACACTGCCGGGTGTGTGGGTAGTATTTTCCCCGATGGATGCAAAAAAGTTATTGAAAACGTTAGCTACTTGTTTAGGTTCACTTACTAGATTTGTTGTTTGTAGTGTTATATTTTGTTTGTCTTTTTTGGTTTCTTTGTTTGTCCGTTCCTTTACAATATTCCACATGGTTTTAACTTTATTTGATGATTTATTCATTTTGTGAATAAATTTTATTTATGACCGTAGTGTGGGGAATGTTGTATTTTCGACATGTTTCTCTAATTTTTGCACCTTTACTTATTTCTTCAATCGCTTTTAACACATCTTCCTCCTTATAGTTAAAAAACGTTCTTTTCGGCGGCATTGTCTGTAATGAAAATAAAGTTGGTGGTCAATTACTGGAACAAACTTGTAGTATGGATACTACCAGTAATAAACCAGTGGTCTACAACTGGAACATTGTGGATATTGCTATCTTTTTTTTATAATATTCTATTGCAGTATTAAATAAACCTACATGTAAAAGAAAAAACAAAAAAAAAATATCAAAAAACTAAAACACCAGTTGTAGACCAAATGGAATATTACTGGTAAATCATTCGATTCGTGTTCCATTAGTTTACCAATAACAAATATTGATTTAAATTTGCATTTTCTGATGAAATAACACGTAATACTATTGCTTTATAGA